GTTTGTTTGTTTTTTGACGTGATTAATAAGACAAAACTACCGGTTTGTAATTATTTGAAAGTGCAAATGGCAGCAGAAGCTAGCTGTAGCATTTGTCCTTCCTGCAAGAGTAGCATGGTATTTTTGCTGGAATAACTGTGAAAAATAGAAAACAATGACGATCTATAAAATCACTCTTGTAGAAGTCACTGTATATTTTTTTAGATTAAAAAAGTTAAACGTGGGCAAAAAATCCTACTCGGTCTTGGTCTGACTAGCCATTAGCTCATCACTCTGATCAGAGATCAACTTCAATTCAAAAAGCGACCCACAACAGGTAATCTAATACTTGCTAAAACTCTGCACATAACGCATCAAACCAAAACATTTTAATTTACAATTGGCATATTAATTCTAAATATATCACATTTATTTTTCAATCATATCTAAACTGAAACACCATTAGCAGCTTCTTTCTGTCCTTGASCCACCTTAGGACAGTGCTGAGTTGAGAATCTCCCATCTAAATAAGCTTATGAGTCAAACATGATAAAAATGAAGAACATGAGACTTTTTTTCAGTACCAACCACCAGCCAAGGAAGCAGCATTTAATCACTTTACCAGTATTAATGATTCATTCACCCACTACCTGTGATCTTCACTTGTCAGACATCCTTTTAACTGGCCAGTGTTCAAATTCATGGGCTTGTGCTCAAGGAGGAAAGGTACTAGGCATGTCTTAAAGTTTAATAAGGTGCATGGAGCAGTGTTGGACTTTCAGTTTCCTCACTCTGTGCTGTAGCACCACGCTGTGTCTTCACCTGAGCATGACAGCAAGTTGGAAAAGTGACTGTGAATGTCAATATATAGAGATAAAATCTTTATTTTCCTTTTCTTATAGACACAGTGTGTAATAGAAATATGCATTTATCACCTGCCTTTTTCCAGCAGGCGATCTTGTTTTTGCCTTGTTTTTGTGTCTGTCTGTTGACAGAATACCTCGTGAACCACTGGGACAATGTCAACGAAACTCTTAAGGAATCACTAAATGAATATCTACTGCTTTACTTTTAGAGTTAACCCAATACGAGATAAATGCCACAGTCTTCTGACCTTAAAAACATCAAAATAGTTGTAACTCTATTCATTTTAGAGACACTGACCTTACGTTTTGGTGTGGCAGCAGCAGAGACTGAACCCTGACAAATATCCTGAGCGCCAACAAATCTCACAAATGCTTTGTTTGCATTTTTCGCCATCAGCTATTTGTGGCCAACTTAGTCTGTGTTACGAAAAATATCTCAGGAACCACTAGATAAACTTTAAGGATGTTTTAGGACGTGATTACTGGGTGTAAATCTGCAACTGATTAATTTTTGGAGTCAAGTTGGCTTCCACAGTGAAACAATRTTCTTTGATTTTCTGAGGCCTTTCAGAAAATCAAAGCCATTTTTATTAGTTGAAAGCAGATTAAATGTTTGATAAATTACTTATATCTTCATGGAAGGCTCAGTGGTAATCTGTTTTGATTAGTGCTGTAGTAATTGAAAAGCACGTCTGTATTTCACAGGCCTAATTTGATCAAATTCTTTGACAGCTATGGTTCAGCTGATATCTCCTGTCTTCATCTTCTCTTCAAATTGGACCCATTGTTGTGCTTGTGAAAAGAATGATGTTGCCAGTCTCGCTGAGGCTTTGTGAAGCTGCAGCAATCCATCATCTGGGCTGTGTTAATCAGCTGTTGTCCATGATCTGAATTAGCCTTGCTGAATAAATCCTCTCTTAAGATAAGCGCTTTTTCATTGCCAGCAAAGATGTATGGAGAAATACGGAGTTTCAACTACCAGAAGAGTATTCACTGTAAAAACACCTCTGCTTAAGTTTTGTTTTTGTACATACATTTTAGTGTGACTTTAGGGGTTGATTTCGGTCCACATTCCCGGCACAACTGGACTCTGCCAGGGTGGTCATTTGTCTCGGATCCTGTTTATGGCGGTCATAGACCGGATCTCAAGGCGTGGAGAGAAGGAAATCTGGTGTGGGAATCTTGAGTCTCTGGATGATGACGACGTTCTGTTGGTGTCTACAAGCAAAGACCTTCAGTAGAAGCTCTCAGTTAGCCTTCAAAGCTAAAACCCTCACCTGTGGCCCCGAGGTGTGGAATGAGATCCCAGTACAAGCAGGTGAAATGATCTTCCTCTTACAGGGTGGCCAGGCTAGGCTGTTTGAGTAAAGAGCTCCATCATCATGAGATAAGCTTGGGATAGGGTTGCTGCTACTTTACATCAAAAAGACTCACAACTTACGATAGCTCCAGAGGTTATCTGAGCAGATTCCATTTGGAGGAGATCCTGGGTCACACCTAGTACTCAGTAGTGGGACCATTTATCCTTCCTCRCCTGGAAACAGTTTGATTTCACCCAGGAGCTACAGTGTGTCACTGAGGAGAGGAAAATTAGTTTGCCTCTAGGGTCCAAACTCCTATAAATAGAAGATAATGGATGGGCGGATTTATTTTTTCCAAGTAGGTTTTAATATTTAGGGTCTGTTAAGCAGCTTTGACTGTCTACTTTGAGATCAGCCAGTAAATATACTTACCATAAAGAGTAAGGAAAATTGTGTTTGGTAGATTTTTTTTCTTTGTTGTAACAACGCTTCTTGACAAATCTTATAGCAGGCACTGGATTGGCAGYACCTGGGTGGACCAGAAGCACAAAACAAGAGCCAATAGCAACAGTAAAATGAGCTGTTTGGCAGAGAAGGTTTGGCAAATTTTTGTGTTCAACCCACATTGGCTCTACAGCTCACCCCACAAATGCATTTTATTCCTTACAAATGTGGCACCATTTAAAATGGAAATTAACAAACTTCCCAACGGTATACAATTTATTGCCAAGGAGTATTGTTGCAACAAAGAATCATCTGCCAAACACACACACACACACACACACACACACACACACACACACACACAC